CCCCCCCCCCCCCCCCCCCCCCACAGGTGATGCCCCTATCAGATGCAAGAGCTTGCCATTCTTGACCTGTGTGTCAATTTTCATGAGGATATGAGGATGCTAAAGCCATCAAAAAGCCAAACGTATTTGGTGGCGAGGGAGGCGCCATAGCGGCCACGCCCTTTGACATAGAGAAAAGCTTTTAATAACTTTTCATCAGCATGGTCTCTGGATGATCTGTAAAAAATTTGAAGTCGATTGGATGAAATCCCTAGGACTAGTTCTTTAAAATACAACATGTGGAAATCACGCCAAAATGACAAGTCAAAATCAAAATGGCTGACTTCCTGTTTGGAGTAGACCATTGCTGCCAGAGACTTTTATGTGCGTCTGGACAATATACACATGTGTACCAATTTTCATGTTCAAACTCAAAAAGAAACCCTAGGGGGGGGGTTTTTGAAAATTTCAAGAGGGCGCTATAGAGGCATTTTGTCCCCCCCATGGGCAATGCCCCTATCAGATGTAAGAGTTTGCCATTCTTGACCTGTGTATCCATTTTCATGGGGAGATGAGGTCATTGAAGCCATCAAAAAGCCAAACTTATTTGGTGGCGAGGGATCGATAGTCACCACGCCACCACATTGACACCATTAGACGTAGCTTCACAGCGTTCATAAGGTAGCTTTACCAACTTGTTCTGCATGCATTAGAAGTGGAATGAAGTTGATGGGGTCAAGTTTGTGGCATAAGCACATGTTAAAGTAAAAACTGGTCACTTCCTGTTACCACCGGGGGGCACAATGAGTAAGATGGGATATTAACATATGGGGGCGTTCGGGGCGGAGCCATCATCATGTCCAGCAAGTTTGAAGCTGCTGAGATCAAGTATGTCGGCGTGAGGTCCGTTTGAAATTCGATGGTAAGAAAACGAAAAGTCGCCAAAATTTGTCACGCCCTAGCGGCCACACTCCTTCACATAGAGAAAAGCTTTTAATAACTTTTGATCAGCATGTTCTCAGGATGATCTGTACCAACTTTGAAGTCGATTGGACGAAATCCCTAGGAGGAGTTTGTTAAAATTTAAGTTGTGGAAATCGCCGTAATGAGAAAATTCAAAACAAAATGGCTGACTTCCTGTTGGGATTTTACCATGACATTAAGAGACTTTTTTGTGCGTCTGGGTATGATACATGTGCGTACCAAATTTCGTTTGCCTACAACAAACTAACCCCAATGGGGAGGGTTTTTTGAAAATTTGTAGGGGCGCTTTTTCGGCATTTCGCGTTGACCCTGTGCAACCGCCCATAAATATCGAATTTCAGATGCGGCCAGACGAATGTGGAAAGTTAGAAGCATTTTGAAATTTGGGAAAGGGCTGAAATTGGGGCATGAAATGTCGCAAGAATAATAATAATAATAATAATAATAATAATAATAAACAGCGTGATTTCAATAGGGTCCTCGGACGACTTCGTCGTCGCTCGGGCCCTAATAAACAGCGCGATTTCAATAGGGTCCTCGGATGACTTCGTCGTCGCTCAGGCCCTAATAACGTGTTATTGATCTGATTCAGCAGCTTTCTTACTGTCATCGCTCCCTCTCTTTATTCACTCTCTACTCTCTACCAGCGTCAGTGGATTCGGTGTTTCGGTGTAAGTGGTGACTGTGTTAACTAGTGACTTTCTCACATTACAAGATACGTTACAAGAGGTGAATGAGTCTTCTGAACACAATTCAACTTCAGCGTAACTTTGATATTAAACACAGACGTGTATGTATTTAAAAATTATTAAACTACTAAAGGCTTATGAGAACACCTATGTGACCATATAACACGGTCACCACTTAAACCGAAACACCGGCTCTGTGTCTGCCTGTGTAGCCGCTTACTGACGGAGCAACTCTGTCCCCTGTTCAGTGTCCGGACCTTTTATATAAATAAATAAAGTAGCAACCGGAGAGAAATGACAGTAAACTGCAACAGAGGCTAATAATAATGATATAATGTTAGCCTCTGTCTCAGAGGGCGGAACTGAGTCTCCGTGTTCATCAGAGACAGAGACCCAGGAGGATTACATAGAATGTGGGCCACCACAGTCTATATGAGTAATGGGAAACATTGATAATTCATTTATTTTTAGGGGTGCTTAGATCAATTTTAGGGGTGCTAGAGCAAGAGTGACAGGACGCTAAATTTCTCAGCTTCGCGTCAGTTTATTTATTAATGTGGTTAAAAACACAACCTACCTTGAATGAATGAATGAATTGAAAATTGCTCTTTCTGCTGCTGTTTGTTTAAATCCAATTCACCACCGGCGGGAACTCTTCTCCTTCTCACTCCGCAATGTAGACAAAACCCCCCCTAATTTGATTGGCTGTGGGACAAAAGCCCCTCTCCTCTGATTGGCTGTGGAATCAGTCGATTTCAGATCAGCACCCACCTTTTTCTCCATAGACTGAATGCACAGACAGTTTTTCACCAAATATCTCAGTGGAGGCGCGATGTGTGATTTGTAGTTGAAGGAAACAGAATCTGTGACTCGTGGGGAAGATTCGAGCAGTTGTAGTTATTGATTTGTATTTGTGTTTTAAAGGAATACAAATAATTTCCTGAGAGAGTATTTTACATACATTTAACATTTTTTGCACAAGTTCACATTCACATTTGCACATACTCAAATTTTGTCCACAACTTCACATTGTTTGATACAGGTGCACAAATATGTTTTGCACCAAATATACTGCAACAATAGGAGCAAAAATGTGAGCGTGTCAGTTTTTTAATCTGTGACTTGTAAAATAAGATTTGTGCACCTGTAATTAAGACTTTGTGAATGTGTAAGTGCTGTGTTGTATTTGTGGAGAGAAAAAAAATCTACAAGTACACAACTCATACTGACACACATACAAATCACTGTACAAGTACACAACTCATACTTACAGATCAGAAATACTTTATTGATCCCTGAGGGGAAATTATTATTACACATACAAATCACTGTACACAACTACAAATTCTACTGTTACAGGTGCTTAAACCTTTTTCACCAATAATACCTTCATAGATTAGTAGGGGCCGGGGAGGGGGTGCGAGTAAAACACATTTGGGTCATCAGTCAGTTGATGGGTCTCCACAGTGTGAGGCGATGACCTCCTTTATGTGGTGTTGTCGGCAGTCTCCTCCACACTGATGCAGAGTAATTTTTCAGAGTAGCTCCTCTTTGATACTTTGATCTCCAAGTTGCATATTGCATTGCAATTGGCTTCCAAATACATTGAGATGTCACAAAATCAAATTCTGCTGGTACATTCAACTGAGATTTCAGGTGAGTACAAAGCAGATAATTGTAAAAACAGCTTTCTTGTGTTAAACGCATATAGAAGAAAAAAGGTTTTGAGTGGAAGGGGAGTTTCAATGCAATAATATGTGGCACAAATTACTGACACCAAATATGGTTACAGTATACAAAAAACCTTATAAACAAAAAGCAGCCTGCTGAACCATTATTTGATAGAATGCATCATTTGGAGAACCTATGATTTAAAACTTAAAGAGGAAAAAAAAATCCACAACACCACATTAATGCATGCTTTATTTTGGTCTTTTCTCAGCCTGAATATGGAGAATTCAAAATAGCAGAGAATGTTTTGCATCTGATATATAACCAAGGAATGATCTGGTAAGTAAGAAAATTTGTCTAAAATATTTGACATAAGATTTAATATGAAGGGTATCGATCTTTTTGTTCCTACTGTATCACCTTGGCCTTGGCACTGTGTGTGTAATAGAAAGTGTAACTCAGAGTTAATAGTGGGGCCAGTGCTGACCAGTCTCCATGACCCTGTTTAAAGTACTGTGACCCTCTATAATCTCTCCATCACACATCAGTGGCTGGCTCCACTGTATTTCCTCAACTCATTTCAGAAATGTCGCCTTGCAGCAATGAACATAATGAATTGAAACCGTGAGCCACTGGATGTAATGTCTTTTATATGGGGCTAGGCCCCAGTGGCTGTATGTATATGTGTTCTGACTTTTCTCTTTATTTTCTCCAGGATGGGAGCATTTTTCTCTCCCTGTCTTCCTGCCTTCAATGTGTTGAAGCTGATTGGTCTGATGTATCTGAGGAGCTGGGCTGTCCTCACCTGTAATGTTCCCCATCAGCAGGTGTTCCGAGCCTCCAGGTCTGACATGCAAGGACACAGACACATTTGTGGCTGAATGTGTGTTATTAATATATTTGTGTATAGTCTTATTAGTGGTATACACTGCTGTATATATGCATTTATTCATTCATTACCTTTTTGTGTCATGCCAAATCATTTAGCCCATCTCTCATGGGATTACAAGACACCATTATTTTACAAAATTGGTTGTCTTTAGGGAAAAGTCCAGGTTTTTGTGACCCATCCACTATCTCAACCCACCTCCTTACAATATTGCTTGGGACCGCTTCCTTGTTTACTACCATTTGTGCATTAGTCATGTGATCGCAGCCTTTCAAAATATGTGGGATATGTCTGAGTTTGGGTGCATTGCTTTTCATAGGAAAATGTATGAACCTTTTTTGAGAACAGCCTATAATTATCTAGCTCTGATATTTGTTATTGGATGCTTTATTAAGTTTGCTACATGCATTTAATTAGCTAAAATTTCAACCAAATTTTATCTGATGAATAGTGATATTACATACTAGGCTATCTTTTTATTTTATTTTTTTTAGGACACACTTCACACTTTATGCTTTGGTGTATTATTATTGCAATTATGGCTATCTTTAACATGGCTGTGTTCTGCATCCTTAATGGCATTATTTTTTGATGAGTTTATGGTATTAATTCAAAAAGTAAACCCATTCCTTGGGCAGCAGTGTTCTTTGAGGTTTTTTTTAAAAATACTTTATATCACCAGTTTATTCTCGAACTCTTTTACTGTAGCTGTAATTCTCTGTTGTACATAATTATAATAGCTTCAAAGATAAAGATCACAATATACACTTTGATTCTTTAACATAACACTGACAAGTGAGCATCAGATGTTTGAGAGATGCAGGGGAGATACTGTTCAAGAAATATTAAAAACACTGACAAGCTCCTCCGCATCGAGGCTCTGATAATTATTGGAATTAAAAAATATGTGTGAGGAAGTAAAGCCTCGACAGAAATGAGGAACAGAGAGTGAATTTAGGGGGCAAGGAGAGAGTCAGTGTGGGAGGGTTCAGGGTCAGGAGAGAGGAGTAGGGCCTTGAGCGGGGGGGGGGGCTGGAGTACAGCCAATAGCTTTGTTGTGTATCACTGCAAGGCTGCCCCCTCACAATGTTAGCCTTGGCTGCTGGAGAAATGCATATTCTGGGGGTGAAAACTGAATGAGAAGGGCATGTTCATCAGGATTTATCCAATACTTTGTGATTATAAAAAGATTAATCTGTGATGATAAAATCCTGGCAGATAAAAAGATTTGTTTTCACGGGATTTTACATTTGGCAAACAGTAAGAGCTAAGTTGACAGTGGGGACTGAAGAGGTGTTTTTTACTGTGATGAGATTGTTTCTGTGTTGCCTGTAGGAATATTTTGGTCTTGCATGCTTTTCAGTAACCCGTACAGGTATGTATAAGCAGGGGAAGGAAACAAAACCAAAACAAACACCAGCACCAGCACCACCTGCACTGTTTAAGACAGGGCTATGCAGTACAGAACCAGGATGCTGGACAGGGCCTTGCTGGGGAAACCATCAGTTAAGGCTAAAAGCAATCAAAATTAATAGAAATTTAAGACTCCAACTGCGGAAGTGACAAACAGGGATGTTTGCACTTTGGAGGGTCCGACCAAGGGGATAGTGAACCAGTGGATGAGGTGAAGGTGCTGGAGGCAGACCGCAGATGACCGCAGACCACATGCAGGAGGCAGAATTGACATTTTCGGAAAGCTACGCCCCTTGGTGATGGTCCAACAAGCTGTCAGAGTAAGCATGGAGACCACATTATATCTAACTGCCCTCCCTGATGAAATATTATCATATTTTTGGAAAAACAAAATAGTGATTCAGAGAGAAGCAGAGAGAGGGGTCTACACAATGCGCTTGAAGGGTATATCCATGGTGTTGTACTCACTCAGCAGCAAAAGCAGTTTAAATAGACAAAGATAGTTAGAAGCTTAAGCCTGACTAGACTACAGATCACAGTGTAAAAGTAAACCCCCACACCACTGGTGATCACAACAGAAGACAATGAATATAAAGGGAAACTTCTCTGATATGGAACCAGTTGTGTGGCCACTGCCAGCACCCAGACCTCTGCAGATGGATGGGCAAGGATCTCCTGGGGAAGTCAAACAACATTCATCTGCACACAATGCGATGACATACAGCCGGTTGAATACCAGCAAAGTTTCCTTGCTACCCTTCACAGGTTCCTGTACAGCAGGGTAGGTATTTTATTGTTATAATTATTAAAAAGCAAAAGCAGCATGTGTATACATTCGGTAGACTATATCTTAAGTAGCTAGCTCGCTAACCCTACACTTTTCAGGGTTTGATTTTGGTTTTGGAACAGGGAAGAAACATATGTCTTTTTCCAACCTCTCCAGGTAATGAGCTATCATTAATAAACGTGCCCCAGACACAACATTTAGCTCAAAACCAAACCAGCCTGAGAATGAAGGAAATGTAAAACGACTGCATTAGGGTCAAAGTCAAGCACAGCTTTGCTGTTGTCGGACCCTGGTCTGAGCTGGTCTGATGCTACATTATAATTGGCCAGCCTGCATCTGGGGGCAGGACTTAGAGAAGGGTCAATTCAGGAGAGGACAGGCTCTGAGGGGAGTTTGGATTGGGGGATTTCATTACCATTGATACTGAAGAGGTTATAGACAGCAGCAAAGAGCCTGGACTACGCCCAGGATGGACTGGGAGGACAGGGTGAAATTAAAGACAGGGACATCAGCAGGGGTAGCCACTACAGCAGAAGTCACTCCATCCAGAACCAAGAGCCACCGGCTGCCCGCAGGTTTAAGACACATTAGCCAGGAACACAGTTTCGTCTACTGCTCAAAGCATCCTCCACAGGCCGTTCAATGAATCGTGAAAGGTAGATATTCAGCGAGGTAATGCCGATGTATCGACTCTTGCCTGAGATGGCTTCCTCCAGGGTTAACTCCTGGGAATATTATAGAGCAGCACAGATCCAGGAATCCCAGGTTGTACTTATGTGCCGGTTGGTTACCTCACAGCCACATTAATCTCTCCTGAAGTAAAAGTCAACTCCATTTAAAAGTCAGGTAATGATTGTTTGTTTTTTTGTTTGTTTAAAGATACAGTACAGGCCAAAAGTTTGGACACACCTTCTCATTCAATGCATTTTCTTTATTTTCATGACTATTTACATTGTAGATTCTCACTGAAGGCATCAAAACTATGAATGAACACATGTGGAGTTATGTACTTAACAAAAAAAGGTGAAATAACTGAAAACATGTTTTATATTCTAGTTTCTTCAAAATAGCCACCCTTTGCTCTGATTACTGCTTTGCACACTCTTGGCATTCTCTCGATGAGCTTCAAGAGATAGTCACCTGAAATGGTTTTCCAACAGTCTTGAAGGAGTTCCCAGAGGTGTTTAGCACTTGTTGGCCCCTTTGCCTTCACTCTGCGGTCCAGCTCACCCCAAACCATCTCGATTGGGTTCAGGTCCGGTGACTGTGGAGGCCAGGTCATCTGCCGCAGCACTCCATCACTCTACTTCTTGGTCAAATAGCCCTTACACAGCCTGGAGGTGTGTTTAGGGTCATTGTCCTGTTGAAAAATAAATGATGGTCCAACTAAACGCAAACCGGATGGGATGGCATGTCGCTGCAGGATGCTGTGGTAGCCATGCTGGTTCAGTGTGCCTTCAATTTTGAATAAATCCCCAACAGTGTCACCAGCAAAACACCCCCACACCATCACACCTCCTCCTCCATGCTTCACAGTGGGAACCAGGCATGTGGAATCCATCCGTTCACCTTTTCTGCGTCTCACAAAGACACGGCGGTTGGAACCAAAGATCTCAAATTTGGACTCATCAGACCAAAGCACAGATTTCCACTGGTCTAAAGTCCATTCCTTGTGTTTCTTGGCCCAAACAAATCTCTTCTGCTTGTTGCCTCTCCTTAGCAGTGGTTTCCTAGCAGCTATTTGACCATGAAGGCCTGATTGGCGCAGTCTCCTCTTAACAGTTGTTCTAGAGATGGGTCTGCTGCTAGAACTCTGTGTGGCATTCATCTGGTCTCTGATCTGAGCTGCTGTTAACTTGCCATTTCTGAGGCTGGTGACTCGGATGAACTTATCCTCAGAAGCAGAGGTGACTCTTGGTCTTCCTTTCCTGGGTCGGTCCTCATGTGTGCCAGTTTCGTTGTAGCGCTTGATGGTTTTTGCGACTCCACTTGGGGACACATTTCAAGTTTTTGCAATTTTCCGGACTGACTGACCTTCATTTCTTAAAGTAATGATGGCCACTCGTTTTTCTTTAGTTAGCTGATTGGTTCTTGCCATAATATGAATTTTAACAGTTGTCCAATAGGGCTGTCGGCTGTGTATTAACCTGACTTCTGCACAACACAACTGATGGTCCCAACCCCATTGATAAAGCAAGAAATTCCACTAATTAACCCTGATAAGGCACACCTGTGAAGTGGAAACCATTTCAGGTGACTACCTCTTGAAACTCATCGAGAGAATGCCAAGAGTGTGCAAAGCAGTAATCAGAGCAAAGGGTGGCTATTTTGAAGAAACTAGAATATAAAACATGTTTTCAGTTATTTCACCTTTTTTTGTTAAGTACATAACTCCACATGTGTTCATTCATAGTTGTGATGCCTTCAGTGAGAATCTACAATGTAAATAGTCATGAAAATAAAGAAAACGCATTGAATGAGAAGGTGTGTCCAAACTTTTGGCCTGTACTGTATTTTTTAGGGCATTTTACCTTTATTGGACAGGACAGGTAAGCGTGAAAGGGGGGGAGAGAGAGGGGGGATGACATGCAGCAAAGGGCCTCAGGCTGGATTCGAACCCGGGCTGCTGCGGCAACAGCCTTGTACATGGGCGCCTGCTCGACCAGTAAGCCACCAACGCCCCAGGTAAAGATAAGTTTAGAACTAGACTTCAGACCATCGGATTTATAAAGAGGGCATTAAAAACTCAAAAGTAAAAGCAATTAAAGGGAGCATTAAAAACTGCAGGGATCAGGCAACAGCAAGTCACACAGTGTCCTATGGTGATGGCATGATGTATATTTCAATTCAGCATTGCTATGGCTCCTGTGGCTCAGGAGGTAGAGCAGGTCGTCCACTAATCGTAAGATTGGCAGTTTGATCCCTGGCTCCTCCAGCCCTCCTCCAGTATCCTTGGGCAAGACACTGAACCCCAAATTGCTCCTGATGGCTGTTCCATCGATGTGTGAGTAAGTGTGAATGGTTAACTGAGTAGTAGGGGGCACCATGTATAGTAGTCTTGGCCACCAGTGTGTGAATGTGTGTGTGAATGAGTGAATGTGACTCACAGTGAAAAGGTGCTTTGAGTGGTCGGAATACTAGAAAGGGGCTATAAAAGTCTAGTCCATTTACCACTGAAGTAGTCTAGTGTTCCTGGCAAACATGTGTTTCCTAAAAAATGTGTGTGTTAAACACAGAGCTGGAATCACAACATAGTTACCCTAGCTTAGCATAAAGATTGGAGGTAGAGGGAAAAAGCTAGCCTGACCAAAGTTTAAAAAAAATAAGTGATAATTCTGTGTGGGTTCACCACCACCACCACCACCAGTCATCTCTTTCACATTGCACAAAACAGGCATTTGATTCATTGTTGGACTCATTGTTTGATTCATTTAGATCAAATATGTATCAGTGCAATCTTATGTCTTATCCATGAGACTGTCCCTGAGTTTTACTAAGATATCATGCCATGATATAAAATCTTGATTTTGATATCAGAATTTTTTTTAAAGAGTATTTCAATCTAAGTTCAGTGATGAAATGCCAGTGCACTGTGGAGTCCCCTTTCTTGCTTCAGTTGCTGTACTCATGGCAGTCACTACGTTTACATGCACAAAATATTCCAGTTTTTGCCCTTAGTACAGAGAAGACAATATTCCTACTGAACTTCTTCCTTGGCTAATGAAAATGATTATTTCTTTGTTTACACTCTCCTCGATGTGCCCTAACATGTTGATTATAATGCCAAAATATAGAGGAGTGGAATGGCTGGAGCAGCTTGTCATTTTGTTTCTTTGCCCAATTTTCTTTAAGTTTTCATACCGTTGGTGGATTGGGTGTGTGTGAACAAAGCCTTCCTCTTTCATTCCTTCAACCACCTTCTTGAAAAGGACAGCCTTCTTGTGATATTTGTACATATCTACAAGGCTGTTGATATCCACATCTTTCATAATGTTTAATAGTAGACTTGTTTCCCTTTAGGACCAGAAATGTGGGCTTTTCTTTTGGGCATGCATATCTACACCAGCCGTGCAAACTGTTGGCAAGTGGGTTTGTGTACAATGTGTCCATCAGACAAGATAAAAACCCCAGTTAAGATGCGTATTTTGAATTGGCAGTATACATTTACAAAGTATGCTATTAAAACCCAAATTATACCGGCATATCCCACGTGGCTTAATTGGAAACTGCTAAATGCGGAAAAATGGCTAAATGAGAAAATCCAAATGGAATATGTTGTTTACATGACACATATTAAATTCAGAATATTGTCTTATTTAGAATCATGGGCAAATATTTGTGTGCATGTAAACATACCCAGTGTAGTCAGGAGATGTTGTCATCACACTCACTCACTGTCAAAAGAAGCACTAGAGGAGTAATTGGGTTTCGACCCAATGAATGGATTGCAGTAACCGAGGCTAGTTTACCCACATTCACTTAAATATCTGCTGCGTTTTGCTGAATTGATCAACTGTTTGCGCTAAAAGCACCAGTAGAGCAAATGTTTGAAACTACATGAATGTGAACATGTCAATGTTAATTTTAAAACATCCATGTTCTTTTTGTTTTGCCTTTTTTTTTTTAGATCAAACAATTTCTACCTGGCAATGCTGCTTTTCATGCTGTTTCTGTGTATGCTGCCCACCATCTTTGCCATAGTCAGATACAGACCATCACAGCACTGTGGACCATTCAGGTAAAAGCAGAACAGTTCAAAATTTGACAACATAAACATTCTAAATAGGTCCCTTTGTATTTCCTATTAAAATGTTTGCTGATTTCATAGTTGTCAAGGAACCTACAAAAGAAAGAGTAATTATGTCAATAACAGCATCTGAATTTTGCAACTTCTATAAAAGTGAATAGGGTGGGCATGACAAGTCCCACTATAATCCATCATATCTGTGTTGTTTCACCTGTGACTGAAACATGACATGACATGATGTTGACTGTTGTTTTTATATAAATGTGCACATGGGTTTTCCTTGTTATTGGTCTCCAAAGAAATCATGGCTCGGTCCAGCGGCTGATCAACTCAATTAAAGCCCATATTGGGTCCAAGAAAGCTAACACTACCCACTATTTGCAGATAGTATTGCAGGCTAAATGTATAACATTATCAATAACTAACCAAACTTCATACTGTTAATGATATTTAATAATATTCAGGAGAATGACATTAGATAATGTTTACTATTATTTTAAGGAGGTGGCACTGATCGCCAAATTATTATACAGCTGGACCTTCATCACTTACCGGTACTTGTTACTTTGTTCATGAAGTTAGTAAGTTAGCATTTGCACTTTGATTAGCCAACGTTTAGCTAGTACAGAATTGTATTGCTGCCATGCCAGAAAAAATAAATAAATAAAAAGATCAGTATCAGAATCAGGATATTTTCACGATGTAACAAGATATTTCGAAAATATTACATCATATAAACTTATAAGAAACTTTTCCTGTAAGGAAAAAAAAAAGAAAAAAAAAAGGAACTTTTCTCGTCAGAACAATATACTATTTATCTTGTGAAATGCTTAATGTTAATACAAAAAGTTGGGACAGGGACAGCAAGTTGGTGAATGCTCAAAAACATCTGTTTGGAACATTCTACAGATAAACAGGTTAATGGGTAACAAATGATAGTATCATTAATAGGTATGAAAGGGGCATCCTTGAAAGGCTTAGTTGTTCAAAAGCAAGGTTTACGTTGTGAAAAATTGTGGGCAAACAGGCCAAAGGTTTGAGAACAACATTTCTCAACGCACAGTTTGAAGAATTTTAGGGATTTTACCATCTATAATCCATTACATTATCAAAAGATTCAGAGAACCCGTAGAAATCTCTGCACGTAAGGGGTAAGGCTGAATAACAGCACTAAATTGTGGTCCTTGATCCCTCAGACTGCATTAAAAACCAACATGACTGTATAGAGGATATTACCACATGGGCTCAGAAACACTTTGGTAAACACGGTTCATCTCTGCATCTGTATATGCAAGTTCAGACTCTAGCATGCAAGGTGAAAGCCATCAAAAACACCCAGAGACAGCGCCCACTTCTCTGAACCCAAGCTCATCTGAGATGGATTTACACAAAGTGGAAAAGTGTGCTGTAGTCTGACGAACCCACGTTTTACATTGTTTTTTGAACAACATATGCTGCGATCGAGAATCCATCTTTTTCAGGGAAGTCTTTGCTGATTCCAAGACAATGAGACACATTCTGCACATGTTACAAAAGCGTGGTTTCATAGTAAAAGATTGCAGGTACTAGACAGACCTGTCTGCAATCCAGACCTGTCTCCCATTAATAATGTGTGGGACGTTATGAATTGCAAAAAAGGAAAACCGAGACCCTTGACTGGTGAGACACTGAAGTCATATATCAAGAAAGAATGTGAAAGAATTTCCCTTTGAAAACTTAAACAATGAGTGTCCTCAGTTCCAAATTGCTTACTGCTTGTTTTTAAAAGAAAAGGTCCTGTCCCCAATTTTTTGGAACATATTGCAGACATCAAATTCAGAATGAGCGTATAAGTGTAGAAGCTTATGAGTTTGAACATTAAATATTAAATAAAATAATATTAAATATACAAATACACATTACTTTCTCATTAAAACAATATTTTATCACATCATGTAATAAAATAAATAGTATATTGGTATAGTAAGAGATGTTTCTTTTCTTTTCTTTTTTTTTCACAAGAAAAATTTCCACTATAACCTGAAAATAGCATGTAATAAAAAGCTAAGAACTGACTTTTTTTCTTTTCTTTTTTTTTTTATTATTCTTTCGTGGAGCAAGATGCTGCAGTGCTAACTAATATTGTAGGCTAACATTTGATTTAATGTTGGTACAAATGTAAATCACTGAGGCAAACGGCAAGGCATTTTGGCATATAAGTCCATGTTTGATGGATTTTTACCTAACTCTTAAGTCCAGCCAGAATAATAATCAGAGCCAGTAATAAACTGATGTGATTACAATTATAATATAATATCAGAGATAACAGGTCAGACCTATGTCGGACCTGCCCTTTTTGGTCATGTATCATGATGTAACGTTAGCTATCTTGGACCAAACAAGCATGAGACAGAGCCATGAACTTTTTGGAGACTAGTAACAAGGAAAACCAATATGCATATTTAGATTTTTAAAAAAGCCAAAGGTGAAACAACACAGCTCCTTTAACTTGTGCACTGTAATTTACTACTTTTTTGTCCCTTCTTACATTTTTGGCTGCTGTTCTATAATTGTCCATGTTTTTTGATGGTTCTGGTAATCCATAGTTTTTGGTTGTAAAATAATTCACTGTCCACCTATCCGGACGTCAACAGCCATAGCAGTAGCGGTCAAAGCAGCCATAGACATGATCAACAGTCAGATCGGCATATGGAAAAATAGGATAACACTTATAACTTATCTTATATCCCTTTGGAAACTGATGCAGTATGGAGGTTGTTCAGTTTATTATCCAAAGCCTGTACAATGGCTAGCACAATGCTAGTTCAGCTGGTGCCCATCCTCTACATCTATTCTAAATGTTTACTGATGCTTACATTTGGAAACCTCAACCTGGCAAGCTAGCAGCTAGCTATCTAGAAGTTGGCAGGAGGAGAATTTACAGATTGGTGAGTTTATTTTCTCATGCCAATGAGTGACTCACAGCCACATGCCACAACCATCTAAAGCCATCCACAAAAAGCCCCACCAACACTTGCAAAATAGACATAATAGCATAAATTTAGCACAAATTTAGCGAAGCCTACAGATAGGTGACTGGATGTGTATGTGCCTACATCATAGTTATTGTGGAACTGCCCCATTGCCCCATTAATATAAAAAGAAGTGGCACCAAAGTCTTGCACCAATGCAAAACTGGAATGCTGTCACTGATGTAATAAACCCCTCCCTCTTTTGTAGATTCCTTTGTGGCTATTAAGGAAACTATAAAAGAACGCAAAGTTCAGCGACAGCATTTGAATTTTGGTTGTTTTATATTTCAACCAAGAAACCCCTGTTTCATGTTGCCATGCCAGATCAGAATCAGTCAACTTGAACTTAGTGGAGTGGGTGGACTCAAAGGTCTGGACACAGGCAAGCAATAACTGGCAGCCCCCTTCACTGTGTGTGTTAATATTGAGTTTAAATGTTGCTTAAAATGTGTTTTTCAGTGGTCAAGAGAAAATATATGACATTATTTCCGAGACCGTGGCCAGTGACTTCCCCCTGTGGTTCAGTAAAGTGATGAGTTATGTCACTAGCCCTGTTGTAGTGCTGCCAGCATTGCTGCTTCTGTTGTAAGACTGCACACACTCTCTCTCTCTCTCTCACACACACACACTTACATACACTTCCATATCAAGAAGCCATCTTGACTTTTGTCCCTGTTTTTTAGCATGCTGATATACTATCTCCAGGCCATTGCCAGATCCCTCAAATTCACCAACAATCAGCTGAGGATGCAGCTCCAGACTGTGAGTTTCTGATGAATCGTTCTCAGAGCAGATCAGGCAATGATCATTTTCAACATGTATACTTTGTAGCACTGAACTAAAATATGTCTACATCCCTCTCAGCACACAGAGTGCCTAGTAGCCAATAGTGTTGCAGAAATTAGTCCCTAAAACCCAAAATTAGTAATTTTGCCCTTCCGGTCCCCTTTCTTGAAGTTTTATATATCTATGTTTTTAATGGGTCCTTGGTAAAATGCTAAAAAAAAATAAGTCCGTGGTTGAAACAAGTTTAAGAGGTTTTCATGTACTGTTCTTCAAAATAAAAAAGAAATCAGTAAATCCCCAACTCCTGAATTTTTAAGCTTTTACATGTCTTTAAATGGTGCTTGCTAACAAGTTGCTAAATGAGACTAGCACCATCAAACAAAAGATGTCTCTACAACCGTGTTTTGGTGGTGACATTGACGTCATGCGACTGTGGTGTAGTTTGTTTATATCAAACATTAGCTTTTTATTTCTGGTGATTACATTTCCATCCATCCATCCATCCATTTTCAACCGCTTAACCGAAGCCAGGTCGCAGGGGCAGCAGGCCAAGCAAAGCATTCCAGATGTCCCTCTCCCCGGCAATGCTTTACAGCTCCTCCTGGGGGACTCCGAGGCGTACCCAGGCCAGACAAGATATGTAATCCCTCCAGTGTATTCTGGGTCTGCCCCGGGGCCTCCTACTAGTGGGACATGCCCGGAACACCTCCAACGAGAGGCGCCCAGGAGACATCCTGATCAGATGCCCCTGTCACCTTAACTGACCCCTTTCAACGCAAAGGAGCAGTGGCTCTACCCCAAGATTCCTCTGGATGTCCGCGCTCTCTACCCAATCTCTAAGGTTGAGTCCAGCCACCCTTTTGACAAAACTCGTTTTGGCCGCTTGTATCTGTGATCTCATTCTTTCATTCATTGCCCATAGCTCATGACCATAGGTGAGGGCTGGGATGTAGACGGACCAGTAAATCGAAAGCTTTGCCTTTCATCTCAGCTCTCTCTTCACCACGACGGTCTGGGCCACAGTCTACAGTGATGTGGGCAAACTGCCAATCCATCTCATACTTCTACCCTCACTTGTGAACAAGCCTCCGAGATACTTGAACTCCCTCGCCTGGGGCAGCAACTCACTCCCAACCCGAAGGGGGCAAATCATCATTTTTCGGCAAAGAACCATGGACTCAGACTTGGAGCTGCTGACTCTCATCCCAACTACTTCACACTCGGCTGCAAACCGCCTCAGTGCATGCTGTAAGTCATGGTGTGATAAAGCCAACAGAACCACATCATCTGCAAAAAGCAGAGATTCTGAGGTCACCAAACTGGACCCCTTCCTCCCCCCAGCAGCACCTTGAGATCCTGTCCTTGAATATTATGAACAGAATCTGAGACAAGGGACAGCCTTGGCAGAGGCCAACACCCACTGAGAACATGTTTGACTTTGTACTAAGTATGCGGACGTAGCTCTTACTTTGGTTGCACAAGGACTGGATGGCTCATAGCAGTGACCCTGGTACCTGGTATTCCCACAATACCCCTATAGCCGTCTTGCTCAATCGTGAGCTCCCCAGCATAGACACACAGATCCCCCGATAGGTTTGCAGTGTTTTATTCAGGCTGTCTGCTCCGAACAACAATCATTAAATTAAATAATAAATCGCATTTGCTTGCAGCTGCCCGGCTCCTGCGGCACATGCTCTTCAGAAGGCTACGTTTTAAAATGAACCAACACACAGGCAGAGGTTTCCTTCCTGTGGAAACAGACGTCTCTCCAGGACCAGCACACTACTGCATAAAAAGGGGAGAAAGAGCAGTCAGATTAATCAGCAGCAGCTGTCAATCAATCAATCAATCAATCAACCAATCAATCAATCAATTTAATTTATAAAGCCCAATATCACAAATAACAATTTGCCTCACAGGGCTTTACAGCATACCACATCCCTCTGTCCTTTGGACCCTCACAGCGGATAAGGAAAAAAAAATGGTAGAAACCCCAGGAAGAGCAACTGAGGAGGGATCCCTCTTCCAGGACGGACAGATGAGCAATAGATGTTGTACAGAACAGATCAACATGATAAATTAACAGTAAATCCGTATGACAAAAAAAACCTTTAACGGGGAAAGAAATGGTCGTTGTCCCAATCAGCTCACCTACCACTAGTCTCCTGAGCCATCCCCCCACACGACCATATAGCCTCATATATGTATTTTTTCACCCCAAATCCAATGCCACCACCTGTGAGTTTTGGAGATAAATTAGACCTACAAGAGGGAGACAATAAGCAGTGGGGGATTGTTAGTGAAAATTGCATTTTCTTTTGTTATTTTTGGTCAAATCACTGAAAGCACCTTTAAGTAAAACAAAATGGTGGGAGGGCACCTGAAACGGTGACTATGATGCTATTACAATAGTTAGGCTACATTATAGGAAATACTATATAATTTACGTACAGTACAGGCCAAAAGTTTGGACACACCTTCTCATTCAATGCGTTTTCTTTATTTTCATGACTATTTACATTGTAGATTCTCACTGAAGGCATCAAAACTATGAATGAACACATGTGGAGTTATGTACTTAACAAAAAAAGGTGAAATAACTGAAAACATGTTTTATATTCTAGTTTCTTCAAAATAGCCACCCTTTGCTCTGATTACTGCTTTGCACACTCTTGGCATTCTCTCAATGAGCTTCAAGAGGTAGTCACCTGAAATGGTTTCCACTTCACAGGTGTGCCTTATCAGGGTTAATTAGTGGAATTTCTTGCTTTATCAATGGGGTTGGGACCATCAGTTGTGTTGTGCAGAAGTCAGGTTAATACACAGCCAACAGCCCTATTGGACAACTGTTAAAATTCATATTATGGCAAGAACCAATCAGCTAACTAAAGAAAAACGAGTGGCCATCATTACTTTAAGAAATGAAGGTCAGTCAGTCCGGAAAATTGCAAAAACTTTAAATGTGTCCCCAAGTGGAGTCGCAAAAACCAAACGAAACATGTGTGCCAAAACGAAACTGGCACACATGAGGACCGACCCAGGAAAGGAAGACCAAGAGTCACCTCTGCTTCTGAGGATAAGTTCATCCGAGTCACCAGCCTCAGAAATGGCAAGTTAACAGCAGCTCAGATCAGAGACCAGATGAATGCCACACAGAGTTCTAGCAGCAGACCCATCTCTAGAACAACTGTTAAGAGGAGACTGCGCGAATCAGGCCTTCATGGTCAAATAGCTGCTAGGAAACCACTGCTAAGGAGAGGCAACAAGCAGAAGAGATTTGTTTGGGCCAAGAAACACAAGGAATGGACATTAGACCAGTGGAAATCTGTGCTTTGGTCTGATGAGTCCAAATTTGAGATCTTTGGTTCCAACCGCCGTGTCTTTGTGAGACGCAGAAAAGGTGAACGGATGGATTCCACATGCCTGGTTCCCACTGTGAAGCATGGAGGAGGAGGTGTGATGGTGTGGGGGTGTTTTGCTGGTGACACTGTTGGGGATTTATTCAAAATTGAAGGCACACTGAACCAGCATGGCTACCACAGCATCCTGCAGCGACATGCCATCCCATCCGGTTTGCGTTTAGTTGGACCATCATTTATTTTTCAACAGGACAATGACCCCAAACACACCTCCAGGCTGTGTAAGGGCTATTTGATCAAGAAGGAGAGTGATGGAGTGCTGCGGCAGATGACCTGGCCTCCACAGTCACCGGACCTGAACCCAATCGAGATGGTTTGGGGTGAGCTGGACCGCAGAGTGAAGGCAAAGGGGCCAACAAGTGCTAAGCACCTCTGGGAACTCCTTCAAGACTGTTGGAAAACCATTTCAGGTGACTACCTCTTGAAGCTCATCGAGAGAATGCCAAGAGTGTGCAAAGCAGTAATCAGAGCAAAGGGTGGCTATTTTGAAGAAACTAGAATATAAAACATGTTTTCAGTTATTTCACCTTTTTTTGTTAAGTACATAACTCCACATGTGTTCATTCATAGTTTTGATGCCTTCAGTGAGAATCTACAATGTAAATAGTCATGAAAATAAAGAAAACGCATTGAATGAGAAGGTGTGTCCAAACTTTTGGCCTGTACTGTATGTCACGTACACTCTACAGAGCCAGGTCCAGGATCCTCTTCAAGTTTGTCAGGGAGGTGGAGGAAGAGATTGTTCTTTTTTCACAAATATGGGAATGATAGTCAAAAACACCATCAAAATGCATAGTTTTATTGTAAAATAGCATCAAAAATTTTCGCCGGCCTCCCGGCCAGCTGTGTAAAAAACCCAGTAAAAGTTCTTTTCATGGGGCCCAAAATCCCTGGCGGCGGCCCTGGTCCAAAGCAAAACGCAGAGTATCATCACGAGAGTGTTCGAATGGAAAATCTTCCATGGAGTGTAGAACAGGGACCTGCAGAGCCTCCTGCAAAGGCACCGCCGGTTCCCCCTCCCTGTCTGCAGTGTCAGACAACCTCACATCACCACTGAGCACCACACACATATCCCATGTCCCTATCAATCGTGAACACACCCCCACACATTGCCCCACTAATCTATTGAACCCAGGCCAATCAGTGCCCAGCATCAAGGGGTGTGTCAGGCAGGAGCTAACCGCAGCCTTAACACTATGCTTTTTGCCCGAATGTCAAATTTCCACTACAGGGTATCTGTGGATATCCCCATGTACACACCTAATGTCCACCCATGATGCCTCCACCAAAGTCCCTGGACGAACCAGGTTCTGATGGATTATAGACTGCATACAGCCCGAATCCACCATCGCCTGGTGTACACCCCCTTGAATCCTCACTGGAACGCTGCATGTCCCTCCTGGACCAGGGGAGGGTGTTGGTGGGCCTGCAACCCACATCACTTGGCTGACCTCCATGAGTGGGCACTCACTGCAGAAGTGACCAGGCTGCCCACACCGCCAACACACCTACCATGATGCCTGAGGAACCCTCTGTGAGTTGAGAGTACCGGCTGTAGTGGCTGGAACCTGAGGAGGGGAGAGAACAAAGGGAGAATAAGTGCGAGGAGGAGGAGGGGAGGGTGACACCGCACCCACTCTGAGGTCCCCATCGGAAACCCCTCCCTGAACTGCTCCAGCATGACCTGCTCCAGCATCTGCCCCTGCAAGAGACCCCCCTGACTGCAGCCACCTGGTCGCCACATCCTCAGCTGCTGAGCGTAAACCAAGGGGCAGCCTGCAGGTCCCAGCTTAGCGGACCTGAAGCAACGCTGGTGATCCTCGCACGTGTCGCCCATCCAGTCAAGGATTGTTTTCTTCACATCCTGGAACGTTCCTTGCAAGGAGGCAGGCAGGCCGAGCACCACAGTCTGTGCCTTCCCTGACAGCAAGGGGAGCAAGCGTACGGCCCATGGCTGGCCAGCCACACGCCACCGCCGTCGCCTCAAACAAGTCCAAGAAGTCCTGGAGGTCGTCCGCCATCGCCATCTTGTGCAGAGTGACACCAGAGAGTGAGGGAGAAGGAGGGGAAGGTGACACAGCTGACCGGGAAAGCAGCCCCTCCAGCAGTTGTGTCTGCCTCTCTGTCTGGGCATGGAGTGCCTCCAAATGCCGTACATTCACTGCTGCTTGTTCTTGGTGCATTGCAGCAATTTCCCCCAGCATTTGTGCCAGTTGTCACCGGCTGAAGCTGCTGTGGATCTGTCATCGTATGTGCTGGGACATGTTGGGCGGCAGTGTATTCCTCTTGCTATGTTTGTGAGCTCCCCAGCATAGACACGCAGATCCCCCTATAGGTTTTACAGTCTTTATTCAGGCTGTCTGCTCCGAACAACAATCATTAAATTAAATAATAAATAACATGTGCCCGCAGCTGCCCAGCTCCTGCGGCACATGCTCTTCAGAAGGTTACGTTTTAAACTGAACCAACACACAGACAGAGGTTTCCTTCCTGTGGAAACAGACGTCTCTCCAGGACCAGCACACTACTGCATAAAAAGGGGAGAAAGAGCAGTCAGATTAATCAGCAGCAGTCCCAATCAACGCACCTGCCACTACTCTCCTGAGCCATCCCCCCACATCTCTCTCTCCTGCAGCCGACTGCTAACCACACACCCCCCACCCTTCACAACCCCCCACAAGACTCCCCTTAGAATGTGGTCGTAAGCCTTCTCTAAGTCCACAAAGCATAAGTAGACTGGATGTGCAAACTCCCACAACCCCTCCAGCAGCCCTGCAAGGGTAAAGAGCTGGTCCACTGTCCCACAACCAGGACGGAATATGCATTGCTCCTTCTGAATCCAAGACTCAACAATCAGTTGGAGCCTCCTTTCCAGCACCCTAGAATAAACTTTCTGAACTTATCTGAAAAAAAAAGAACAGGTATCATATACAGTTTCTGCAATAATGCAAAATCCAGTGGAAAAATCCCATTGACTTTTTTGTTTTTTTGTTTGTTGAGCCAGGGTGACACTAACTTCTAGTAAACTACAAAAAAAATGATGAATAAAGATGAATACGGTATGGAAAGTTTGACTAGTTAAATATATTTATTCACTGGAGCTTTGCAAATTATTTTGAGCATAAAAAGGTCTTTGTGGATACAATACACTAGGGCAGAACAATACTGTACTTTGAATGCCAAAACAGAAGGGTTTCCCACACATTCATTTATTTGTGGTGGCCAGCCTTGATTATAACAACTGCCGTCACAAACAATAATATTTGGAGCTGTACAATTCATCAGGGGTGTTGTTGGAATATACTATATATACCATTTGGTTATTTACAATATGGGACAGAGAGCGCACTCGGGCAGAGATGTAGCAGCACTGACAGTGAAATTTAACCATTCATTCAGCTGGGTCAAAAAGTTTGCATTCAGTTGCAGCTGCTGCTCCTTTCATCCATCGATCTGATCAGCTGTGAACAGATCAAGAGATCAACTTTCCACCCTGTGAGTCACAAACTACTGCTGAGGAAATAATAAAGAACTCACGGAGTACTCTGCCTGTGTTGTGTTCACAGACTCGCAAAAACCTTTGAATTTAGAGAGGGAACACATACAATCTTATTCTGTAGGAAAGACTTAACAGATATTAATATTTTAGAATCACAGCTTATTTTGTTGTTGTTCTTTGTTTGTTTGTTTCATTTTTAATTATTTTTTACAACAAATATTTTTGTGATAGATACCTTGAGTTTGGTCCTGAAAATATGCCAAATTTGGACTGAGCAGATATTAAAAAATCCAGTGCCCTCCTTTGATAGACACACTATCTAATGGCTACAAAATTGATAAAAAAAAATTTTTGACAGAGCATTAATTTACAACAATTTTGTTAACAAAATAATCATTTATGTATTCATTTTTTTTTTCCAGCAAAAATGGAGATTATAATTTACGTGGAATTTTTCTTTAATCTATTTAGGAGCGGACCGAGGACAAGAAGAAAGTCTTCCACATGGCTGCAGGTATCCCTGCTGTTTTTTTTTCAGCTCTCCTGTGTGTGTTCCATTATTTCTTGTAGTTTCGTGACCCATCACCCTGTAACATTTAACCCAACCTTAGCGAGACTTCAGGCTCCAGAGGCTGCAGCAGACAAAAAACCAGATCAGCAAGAGAGTGACATCACAAGCCAGGATGCCTCGGCTCGCACTCCATCTCCCCAGCGGAACAGCAGCGTCACAAACTTCAATTCTCCTGTTCCTCGTGGAAACAGCATCCGCACCATCACCCAATCAGCGTCTAGAGCGGACCTGAACAGAGGAAGTGCGGCTGGATCTGTCAGAAGTCCAGCAGTGACCATACTGCCCAAACACAGGCTGGAACACATACCTAACAGGTCTGACACACATTGATATATTGGTTCAGCTAATCAGGTTGACTTAAGACAAAAGGTGACCTCTTACGTGACGCATATACATTTTTTTTAATGGGAAATAATTGTAGAATTGATCAGTAGTGGAAAATAAAGCCAATGAAGATGTCCTAAACTACACTTTTAGACTAGAGCCCTGTTTACTGAAAATGACTGATCTTAGACGGTAAGTTTCCGATGCAACAAAAAAAGCAGGTGCACATGCGTACTGTATAAGATTCTTAATAATGGTTATCCGTGATGCTGGAGATGATGCTGAATAGTGTTGAAAATTACACAAAGACATTTTATATGGAATTGCTCTGCATTAAAAGAAAATTCAAAGCTGGGGTAGACAGTTCAATTTTGGCCTCATTGTGCAAAAATGTGATAATAAACTTTGAGCATATTATATTAACATACATATATATATTAATATCATATATGTATATACATATATACATATATATACATATATATATATATATTTGATATTTGAAAAGATAAAGAAACATTTTTCTGGCAATTGAACCATGATGCTAGCAGCTAGCCCCATGGGTGTGGTGTGTATATATACAAATATATATGTGGTATCTGTATCATCCTCAAGCTCGGGTCCTCTGGCCTGGGAGTTTGAGGGTTCTGCACAGTATCTTAGCTGTGCCTAGGACTGCACACTTCTGGGCTGAGGCTTCAGATGTTGTTCCTGGAATCTGCCAAAGCCACTCTCCCACTTTGGGGGCCAGTGCTCCGAGTGCTCCTACTGACACATAACCGACCACACTTGTCTATTCCGAATGACATCCTTATGTTCTTACTGTAGATCCTGGTGCTGTGTATCAGTGAGTCAATTTCTCGCTCATTCTTGGCACACAGCTTGATGTCATCCATGTAGAGCAGATGGCTGATTGTTACCCCACTTCAGAGTTGTTACCCTTAGCCAGTCTTCTTGATGATGTGACAGAGGGGATTCAGGCCTATACAGAACAACTGTGATGACAGTGCATCCCCTTAGTATATGCCGCAGTTGACTTGGGCAATTGGCTTTGAGTTGGCCTTTAGGGTCATCCTCCACATTCCCCTGGAGTTCTTTATGAAGTCCGTTAGAGTCCTGTTGATCTTGTATAGTTCCAGACATTCCAGTATCCAGATGTGTGGCATTGAGTCGTAGGCTTTCTTGTCAATCCAGGCAGTACACAGGTTGGTCTCCCTGCTCTTGCAGTCTCGGGTGATTGCTCTGTCGACAAGTAGCTGGTGCTTGTATCCTCTGATGTTACAGCCAATTCCTTTCTGTGCCTTGCTCATGTATTGGACCATATGCCTAGTTATCTTAGCCGCTATGATGCCTGACAGGAGCTTCCATGTTGTGCAGAGACAGGTTATCAGTCCATAGTTGGATGGGATGGTTCCCTTCTGGGGGTCTTTCATGATCAGGACTGTCCTGCCCTGTGTCAACCATTCTGGGTGGGCCATGTGTTCTGCTCGGCGTTCATGGAGTGCAGTTAGCTTCTTTAGCCAGTATGTATGGATCATATCAGGGCCCGGTGTTGTCCAGCTCTTCATCTTTGACACTCTTTCCTGGATGTCTGCCATTGAGATGGTTACTGGTTCTTGTTCAGGGAGGTTGCTGTGGCCAGCTTTAAAGTCCACTAGCCATTGGGCATCAGTGTTGTGTGATGCTTCTCTTTCCCGTATGCCCTTTCAGTATGTTTCCATCTCAGGTCTTGGTCGGTCTGACCTGCTGTTATTTCCCTGCCACTGAGAGAACACCTTGGTGGAGAACATTCTGTTTATTATCCTGGCTTCTACTTCTTTGGTGTATCTCTTCAGCCGGATGGCCAGTCTTTGGTCAGCAGTTTTTGATTGTGGGATTTGATGTATCCATAGGTCCCACATTGTCTACATATATCCCTCTCTTTGGGATTGCTTGTATAGTAGCATTCCATCACTTCAGTGTTCTCCGCCCTTGTCCATGTATGTCTTGTTCCAGTAGCCCATGTCTCATCAGATTTCCCTGGTTTCCTAGCAACTGATGCAGACCTTGTTGACCCAGTGATGTCCGAGCTAGTATGACTCTACCAGGATTGTATTCGCTCATGCCTGAGGTAGGCAGGTATAGCATGTGTATGTGTATTTCCATATATAAATATGTATGTATATATATTGTCATGAACCGGGCCGCACGGCCATGACAAAGAGGGAGACACATACACAAGGAAAGCCAATTAAAGGATTTTATTTACTAAAGAATAAACATAAGAAAAAGAACCTAACTAAACATGGCGTTTGCAATCAGTAAAGTCAGTGGTGTAGGTGAGGGCATGAGTGACAAAACTAAACCCACAGGATCTCCGTTCCAACAACAAAATAATGTTTACATATTAGAAAGCTAATGAAAAAAGTACACCATAACCTAACTGTCACAACTTAACCCCCACAGCCTGCAAATCCACAGGTCCACAGCTTATCACGCTCAGAGTCAAGGGGCTCTGGAGCGTTTCCATCAAACTCTCAAGTCTCTTTTGCGGGCATATTGTGTTGAGCTGGTTGGGAACTGGGAGGAGGGGCTACCCTGGTTGCTTTTGGCTGCACGGGAGGTAGTGCAAGAAAGTACAGGGTTTAGCCCAAATGATTTAGTGTTTGGCCACAGTGTTTGTCTCTGTTTAAGGATGGGTGGAAGGGGTCAGACCCACCCACCAACCTTATTGATTATGTAAATGGCTTTAAGCACCGGCTGTATTCTGCAGGGGAGTTGGCAAAACAAATGTTAGCTGCTTCACAAGTTAAAATGAAAAAGAAGTATGATCATTGGGCTGAGGTTCGTGAGTTTAGTACTGGTGATCGTGTTTTGGTTCTTTGTCTGCTGGTTAGCTCTCCCTTCCTTTCAGCTGACATCCACTGAGCATCATTAGTTTTGGTTTGCACCTTGATCACCTCTGCAGCACGCCTGACACTCACCCATGCAGGCTTTCATGACTGACTTTGCTGATCTCCACACTCCATTGATTATTATTTAAGTTAATTTTAGTTTAATAAATTTGGCTTGTTTTAAGTAAATCTTTTGTGTGGACTCCCTTGTCACATACTCTGAGCCAGTTTGTGACAATATA